GGAGAGCCTTGCCTGTAAAAGTTACTCATAAATAATTTGTTGAATGGTGAAACGGAGAAGCAAAACTTCATATGTGAGTGGAAACAATAGTTCAATAAAAGCGCTAAGCTTGGAATATTGATTATAAGTAGCAAATTTAAATATTCCAGAGTCAGGTACAGAATTATGTGCACTTCCCCTGAAATAATCATGGTGACTTGAATAGAGTCCAGCTCCCGCTTCCTCTCTCTGGCGCCTGACTGTAACTCCCGGTAGGTTGAAATCTGAATTTATTTGGTGACCGATTTTCCAAAGCCGGTGTGCCAAGATGAACCCACTTGAAAACTGTGAGCTCTCGGACTTGGCTGCCGGACCCGTCCAGCTGAGGTGGGCTGGACCAGCATCTGCTGCCTTCATTGTGCTTAATGCTGGATCCATCTGTTTTCTGTCAAAACCAGTGCCAACAAATTACTAATCTATTAGAGAAACATGGAAATAAGATTGCACTTCTCATTCCTGGCTTTTCCTCTCATATTTTGCTTGGCTTACGTGTTTGGTTTTTATTTATTTGGAGGAGAAAGATACGTTATCGAGTGGGCAAGGCGGGGGCATTAATCATTTTTTCACTCCTTCCACGCATTTTTAAAAGATTATGGGGACAAGATCATCAATGATCAGTGGCTGTTGAGGGTGTTACGGGCGTCGATGATGATGGCGGTAGTAACAACTGTCGTTTATTAGGGGACTCCATGCTCGGCGCTGTCCTAGTCCCTCCATACCTATTCCCCATTACTCTCGTTACTTTACAGATGGCAAAACTGATGTGCAGACAGGTTAAGTAACTTGTCCAAGGTCAGGCCGCTATTCAGACCCAAATTCTAGAGGCTGCGCTTTGTCCATCGCTGCCTCTTAAGCCATTTAAAGCCTTTAGAAAGCATTTTTATCCAGGCATGTGAGTTTAATGAGGAAAGTCTTTAGAGTTTCAAGGAGAAGAAAAGGGGACTTTGTATTTCTTCCACCAAGTAGAGGCCTCTATAATTAGAACATATTCCCTTGACGTGTGCTTTTGAGTGCCGATTCATGGAATCAACCCAACTGATTGAGGAAAATTAGATTGGGAGCCCGGTACTCAACGGGCCTTTCTAAGCACAAGTGCTTTTGCGTGCATGTCTGGGTGTGCCTGGTGGTTGTGGTCCAGCACGTCCACCGCCCGATGGCAGGACGCCGCCTGGCTGCTGAATTGAGCAAAGCCACGGAAACACAGCTCTTTTTCACACACGCCACGAATGAGATAGATGAGGTCGGGTCCGGGGTAACCAAACGTCGCCATCCTTTCTTTCCTTTGGGATCATTAAAGTACAGCTCCTGCCTGCCAGTTAAACCCCAAGTACAGAACCCAGTGTGACGGAATTTCTCTGTTCCCCCCATAAGCAGAGTTCAACAAAATCAGGAACCTTCTTCTCTAATAAAACCGCACTGTGGGTATAGTCTGATATAAGCATGTCTAAATGCTTGTTTTCTAAAACAAGATTAAAGTGTTATTTCATTTCCTTCAAAAGCAAAGGGTACATATGTTTTCACTGAGTAAGGTTTCTTACCAAATGAGTCACTTACCAAGTGTTGGGGGAGGGTGGGAACTGGTAATCGAATGAGTATGTGAATTAATTTCATTTGCATTCGAGCTGTGAATGAGTTGATTTATTTTTAATAAAAGCAAGAGCCAAAAAGAGCCCTGTCTTCACTGATGTTATCGGGCTGTCTGGAAGTGAGGGCGTGTGAGGTCAGTGAGGGCGGAGAGGAGAAATCTTAATTCTGCCCCCAGAGACGCGTTCTGAGGACTGCGCTCTGAGAAGGCGTGGGAAGAGGCAGGACGGCAGCCTGCCCACCGCGCCGTGTCCCTCACAAGCCGGGGAGGCATAAGGTGCCCTTTCCACCAAGATGCTGTGACGGGAAGACAGACGGGGACCTTATGTGGGGTCCTGTGGGGTGGGAGACTCTGAAACAAGAACTTTTTATAAAGAACTTTGAAATTGATAAACAGTGAATGTTTTACCTTTTACTTGGAAACAGCATACGTTTGTTTCTGCAAAGGCAGAGTGTCGTCTTACGAGAAGGCAGTTTAAATTTGAGGAGCTGGCCATAAAAGACCCACCCGCATGTAACTCGGTGGTCCTGAAGTAATTTACATCAAACCTTTCCTGTTCCCTCTATTCTCTTTTGTTTTTCTCTCCATTTTCCAGTTCCTTCAACTGCTAGTGCCTTCCTCTGTTATTCCTCTTTAGGCTTTCTTTAGCCTTCCAGAGGACATCCGGGGTCAAAGAAATGCTGGCTTTAACAAGTCGCTTTCCGTGCTGGTGGAGCACTTCATTAGTTTGTCCCAAGATTGGTCTATAGCAGGGGCCAGCAGATTATGGCCCACTTTGGCCCACCACCTGTGTCTGTAAATAAAGTTTTATTGGAACACAGGCACTTCCATTTGTGGAGACAGCGCCTCTGGCCACGTCGGAGCCACAGAGGCAGTTGAGTTGAGACTGTCTTGCCCCATACAGTCTGAACTATTTACTGCCCAACCCTTTACAGAGAGTGTGGCGGCCCATGGTCCTTGTGAATGGTGGCTTCCATACCATCTGCAATAAATAACACTCTTCACGACACCCAAATAAGAAAGCTCATGTGATGCACCTAACAGAGAGCAAGTACCCAGTCAGTGTTGAAAGTCCACGGATCTCTTGTGGATTTGTAGGTCATGCTGCTTTACATGTGTGGGCTTAAGAAAACCTGGTTTTCCTGTCGTGATGATACGTTACGTAAGTGTGGTTTTTCCTTAAGCATCTGAGAGGCTGCACGGCAGTGTGATGTGCCTGGACTCTGAACTGCACACACAGACTACCTGAGTGCAAACCGTGGCTCCTCTGCCTGTCGGGCACATGACCTCGAGACAAGCCCCCCAGCGTCCCGTGCCTCAGGTCCCTCATCTCTAAAATGAGCAGTGTAATAATAGGGGCCTCTTCTTGGGCCTGATACAAGGATCAAGTGAATTAATGCAAACAATTTGGAACTGAGCTTAGCACGTAGTAAATATTAAGTATTTGCTTTTGATATTTTTACTAGTCAAATCCAGTTTCTGCTGGAAAACCTGGGGAAGCTCCTCCTTATCTTCCAAATAAACCCTACACTTGGCGGCCTGGAACACGAGACCATGCAGGTCTGACGTCTTCCCCCGGGGCCCCGTCACAGCCACACAGAGCTCCTCCGTGACTTATCTGGAGATCGTTTGCTCTCTGGCTGGCTGTGCCGTGTGCACGCTGTCCTCTCTTCTGCCTTACTCGCCGCTCAGGTATCTAACCCCTACCATTTTGACTCTGTGTTTGCAATACTTTACATACTTTATGCCCTTGAACCCTAGCAACCACTCCTCAAGCAGACCATATTAGAGGTGATAATCTTTGCTTTGTGGAGAAGAGGATGGGAAAAGAAAGAGGAGAATGAGCTGAGGTCTGGTAGTTAGTATGTGTGGAGCCTTCACTCAGCACCAGTGCTTCCCAGGTCCCAGGGCCTGCCCCCCACGGGTTCCTGAGGCCACAGCCCAGCAAAGAAATCTTTGCTGAACTACACTATCACGCTGACCCCCTCCCCCCTCAAGCAGACTTGCTCTCCATTCTCTTGCACTTACAACAGTACGTTATCTTTCTGGTTTTGTATTCATACTTTTTCTTGTCTTATCACTGCTGCTACACCTCACACGCGCACGCGCGCACACACACACACACACACACGGTGAGCAGCTTGAGTGTAGGAATTGAATTGTATTTAATTTTATATCCCCTGTGTCTAAAACAGTTATGTTATTTTGACAAGGAGGCTCTTCCAGAAAGCAGTTAAGGATCGATTGAGAAACGCTTATCCATGTTCCGCAAATGCTTTTTACATTTGTTTCAATAATCATTTGTGGGAAAGCAGCATATCGTACTGGTTAATTACATGGGTCCTAGAACCTGTTTTTGCTGGAGCTTGAATCCTAACCTACTAGCTGTTGATTTTCTTCATTTGTAAATGGAATCATGGTCATTTATATATGTATTTCATACGGTTATTGGAGAAGCGAAAGAAACCATTGATGTAAAGCACTTAACCCAGCATGTCAAACACAGTACGGTTCAGCAGTTACTTTCTGCAATTGTTATTATTGGAACGACATTACTTATGCCTTTAATGTATGTACACTCGGTCAAAGTAAAAGGTATGGAAGGAGAGAGAAAACTTTTGAAATAATTGGGGTCCTTGAGGCTGCTGCTCTCCTTGTGAGCGCATGCGCCAGTGTGAATGGGGGCTCGGGGGGTCTGTCTGCCCCCCCCCGGATGCCACCACCCCTTCACCGCGTTGACTGTCACGCCAGTACGTGAAACCATATTTCCGAGGACATGGCACCAAGCACAAGCGAGCTGCTTTATCTGATGCTCAAGGCGGAAACAAAACAAAACGAAAACCCTGCTCCCAACACCAGAGAAAAACTGGTTGCTTTGCTGGACCAAGGCTGAGTTTCCATGTGACCCCTCCTGTGGGGTTTTGGAGGATAATCTTGACCAGATGTGCATTTTGTCTTACGTGCCGTCTTTCTGGCCCTTTGTCATGACTGCCGCATGCAGTAGTGGGGTAGTCATGCAGTCTCGTTATGGGTAAGACGTAGTGGGGTAAAACGTAGAAATGTGAATGTTGGGTGTATTGAAGCCACAACACTCACTGCTAGCATCCCTTGCCTGTGCATAGGTTGTTTTAATGATCAGCCTGATTGTCTCCTCCCTCTCTCAGCGGGCCTGTGTGGCTCTTTGCCTTGGAATGTGCCGAGATAGCTTATTTTGCCACAGCCAGCCTCATCGGTGCCAGCAGGGGAAGGGTTAATAAGGGTCATGGCTAATATTCTGTGTTGATCACACTGTTGGACAAGAAGCCTTTCTAGTGGCCGTTCTCACAAGTACAGATACTAAGTAAAAGGCTTCAATTTGTGTTTACTTTTTGTTTAGGTAACTACTCCAGACCCCCAACGTATAGTGGGGTGCCCAGTGCGAGCTACAGCGGCCCAGGGCCCGGCATGGGCATCAATGCCAACAACCAGATGCACGGACAAGGGCCAAGCCAGCCGTGTGGTGCTATGCCCCTGGGACGAATGCCATCAGCTGGGATGCAGAACAGGCCGTTTCCTGGAAATATGAGCAGCATGACCCCCAGCTCTCCCGGCATGTCCCAGCAGGGAGGGCCAGGAATGGGGCCACCGATGCCAACCGTGAACCGTAAGGCACAGGAGGCAGCTGCCGCAGTGATGCAGGCCGCTGCAAACTCGGCACAAAGCAGGTATGCCGTCGGGGCAGGTGGTCTGGGTGCGGACGTGTGAGCACGTGCTGAGCACAGAGCTACATCGTCACCCGGGGCGGGGGGGGGGGGGGGGGGGGGGGGGGGGGGGGGGAGCAGTGGAGCGCGATTTTGCTCGGCCGTTGCTTTGGTGTTAATGTTTTCTGTACCGTAAAGTACAGACAGGTGAACGACAGAACACGTTCCCGGGAGACATCGAGGAAGGAATCGGAGTTGTGGGAGGTTCTTTGAAATGACTGTGAGGAGTCCTTATAACCAGTCCAGAGCAGTGGCATATCTCATGGTTCCATTTAGAACAGCTAGGTTTAGGCAGGGAAGTGTGAAGCCTGAAGAACTAGGCTTTTAAGATCGAAAACACTGAAAAAGAACCACCTTCTTTTTTTCTTTTTTTTTTTTTTTTACCCCACCATAAAAGTCTTTATAAAATAGAAACCTCGTCTATGCACATATTTGTATCGTGTGTGTTTGTCTAAATGTATACGTGTGAGATTTATAGATGTCATCTTATATTTTATTTTTCTGGGCATACCTCTCTGTCCAAACCAAAATGTGGTTAATAAAGCAAAGATAATATTTCATAAAGTTTTAAGCTGATAGAGCAAGGCTTTAGCCTCAATCACTTGTTTTTAATCTTGATTTCTAAAATGATTGAAGCAAATATTGAACCTATATAAAAATAACGTACTTAATTAAAAATTTATGACCGAAGTGACTAGTTTTAAAGGAAGCACTTATGAATATGTTTTAAATTACGTTTAACATATGTTAAAATATGTTTTAAAACAAAGCACGTTGACAGCTATGTCTGAAGTTACGGTATCTTCAGAAGAAAAGATAGAGGAATCGGATTTTTGTCAAAGGGAAAGAAAAATGTGTGTGTGTGTACGTGTGTGTGTTTAAATGTGTCCTTTGTTACTTTTCCTCTGAAGCTGCTATTTGGGGAATGTTAGGGACCCCTTCAGTCTCCCTGTTTGCTCCAAATAAAAATAAATTTCCCTTGAGGAATCAAAAGGAAAATCAATCATCCTCTCTCTCTCTCTCATCCACATTATAATTACTTAAAATTTCCTGAACCCCAGATACTAACCCGAACCTCACAGACTTTAGGGAATGTTTTAATAAACCTGTCCGTGAAAACTGGTTTGCCTGGTCCAATTGAAGCTCTGATTTAGGGTTAATTGTCCATTGTTGCACCTCCTGAAGCACAAGTTATTTTCAAGTAGAAAGTACCTGACTGCATTGGACGATGAGGCCTCGGATAGCGGCCCGGGGAGAAGATAACCACAGATATTAAGACATAATTGCTTGATAAAAAAGTCTTGCTATGCTCCCTTCCTGAATCAGTTTATATATCATTTTGTATAAATTAACGTATAAATCCACATCCATGCGTTTTCCTTTTCTGTTTCTGACCAGGAGGCAGTTCCAAATCCCTGCCTTCACACACTGCCTGTTTTCAGCGAGGGCCCGTGTATTTTTTGGCTTGTACCGAAGTCAAAGCTCCACTTCAGCAGCGTAAACTGAGATTACATCTGAGAATCTCACTTTTCTCTCTCCTCTGCCCTGTCCTTCACCCCGCCCCCCCCCCCTTTTTAAGGAATGTTCTCCAGCTCCCCTCCCAGGCAGCTGCACGGTACAGAGTATTATGCCATATTCTGTAGCCCCCCCGCACCTATGTGTGGAGGTGACATGATGGACAGGGGGATTCGTACTTGTCTACAGAACAAATCCAAAGAAGTTGTTCTTCTGTTCTGCTTTAGGCCACCATACATTAGGTCGCCTGCTTATCCCAGCCAGTCTGGGGCTGGCGGACGCCCCATGTTTTCTTCCCAGCACCCCAACTATGGCAACTCTCAGGCTCCCATGATGCACCAGCCTGACCAGTACGGGTAGGTAGCAACATACCCTGACTTGCTGCGGGACCTGGGCATTTTTTTTTTTTTGAAACTGTTAATGAACGTGCCATCTGGCTGCGAAAGGAACACCCAGAACAAGACAGTGAAAGACCTAAGAGGAGATCCATCCCAGAGGGGGTTGTCTTTTCGTTCCTTTTTGTTTGTTTCGGGGGTTTGGTTCGTTTTGTTCTGTTTTGTTCTTCACTCTTCTGAACGGTACTGTGGTAGTGCGGTGGGAGCGTGCATGCTGTCCCCCAGATCCTGTCTCTGCATGGCTTTTGGCATGGCTTGTTCCCTTCATGCCTGAGAGGGAAAGAAAAACTTGTATCTCCGTAAAAGTAATGAAGCCACCCGCTCTGGCGTGATCTCCCCCATTGTCGTCCCTCTGTTGTCTGGGAACTTGTGTTGTGTAGCACCGTGATCATGACTGTGTTATTGTCATCTCTGCCACGACAGTGACCCGCTCCACACACGCACACACACACCCCTGAATTCAGAGAGCAGCGGCCGCGTTTGACAAGAGACCCACTGCAGGAGACAGGACTTAGGTTATTAATAGGACTTAGGAGGGGATTCTTTCCAGCCTCCCTGAGCAGATTTCTATTCTTTCCTTCTCCCAAGGAGTTTTAGAATATTGAAGTCACCAGAAAAACGCAACCAAATAATCCAACGTGGAATTTTCTTTCGAAACATGGTGTTGCCATATTATTATCCATTTCGACACAGGAATTACATACAGCAACAAAAAGTAGCTTTCTTTTTTCCTACTGCAAAGCTATATAGCAACAGGCTGTCACCATTTTTAGGTTCATAAGTGCTCTTAAAGCATATCGTTATTGAGCGATTTACTTAGCAGAAATATTATTATTGATACTGTTTTGCATGTTGCAATGGTAAGATTATCCTACGTAGACTGAATGCTGTTCAGCAGTTTCAGCAGAAACACACCACATTTTTGGTTCAAATAAAACAGAGAACAGTCAGCTGCCTTTGTTTAAAGACTAAACTTCTAGAACTATGCTTTTACTGCTTGTTATGAATACGTAACAGAGAGCCTGTCACTAGTTTTGTATTCGGTATACATTTATTTAGACAGCGAGAGCAAACGATAATTTTGCAGGCGAGAGTTCTAAATCCTGTAAACACGGTCCTAAATGTGGGCCAACAAATATAGAATTTTGTAAACATAATCCTAAAAATGAAATAACAGATATAATTAGGTAAGCAGACTTCTTTTGGGAAGATGTCTTTTCCTCTTTTTTCCCTTCTTGTGGTACCTTCAAGGTCACTTCATGAGTCAGTAGGAAGATAACAGTAGGGGGAGAAAAGCATTCCTCATCAGCTGCTAATCCATAGGATCTGTCCTTTACCAACTCTGGAGTCCTATTTAGACCCACAAAGCTAGTTTGGCTGTGCCTTGCCAAGCCACATTAAGCAGCTGTGTAAAATGAATTTAAATGGCATGCATCAGAGTAAAATCTCTTCCACTGGGGCAGAAAATCAATGTTAGCTAACCAGCACGAGGAGATCAAATCTGCGTTTCAGCCAGCAGCATCCAGATAGCTTCCTTAGAAAACAACACCTCCTCTTTAATTAAAAATAAGAAAAAGATAGATGTTGGAGTTACTCTTTGTAAATCTTATAAAGCGCACTTGGCGAAGGCTCATCTCTGTGGCCCCATCCCTGTTAGCTCTGATTTTTGCCTTTCATGTCTACAGCATTCTTTCTAAAAAGGAAAGAAAAGAAAGTTTTGTTTCTATTTTAAATCTTCCTTTTCACTTTGCAAGTACATATAACCTGTTGTGCCTTTTTTTTTTTTTTTTTTTAAGCAGAAGCTTGAATGTGAGAAAACATGTAGAGTACATGTTTTAGCACTGTGGGTTAAGAAATTTGGTTTTCAACATGCTTTTGCTTTACTTAACAGCTCGTGGCAGCGAACTCATGTTTTTGCTTCTGTTGTCGTTTTCGTCCCCCGTTGGTGGCTCTGTCGGGTGGAAGTCAGGTCGGCAGTTTGAAAAACCGGTTCACTAAATGTCAGTGTCTCTTTGGGGGAAGAAGTGGCTCCAGCCTTTCAGAAACACAGCATTCGCAGAGTTTGTTAAAATGACTTCTTTCCCAAGTCAGAATCCCTCAGGGCCCGGAGCTTCTGAAGGAACCTGAAAAAAGACAGATTAGTGACAAAAGTGTAGCGCGTGAGTGTGTGTGCACGCGTGTGCTATTAGAACCCGAAAGCTCTCCGTGAGAAATGACGGATTATGGCAGTTATGCTCCAGGCTTTCTCAGCTCGTTGCGTGTGAGACGGGACAGAGGAAAACACACAGGCGTGACTGATTGGAAGCCATCTTATTACTTTGCTTTTTAAGGGTAAAACCCACCTGCTGCACTGAGTAAGTGAAGAAACAGAGAGAATCGGGTTGTTTTCATTTCGACCTTTCGAGTGAAGGAATTCCTTTTGATTATCAGAGGATTTACGGTAGAATACGGTGACTCTTACTGCTCGGGTAGTAGACCAGCTGAGTGATCTCATCTAATCATTTGGAATTAATAAGTTACACGTAATATTTTTGCAAGATGCCCTGCCCGCCATACACCGAGAGACTTTATTCAGAAAATGCATTGCTGTTTAGTTTTAAAGCATTTCTTTTTTTTTCAAGTTTATTTATTTATTTTGAGAGAGAGAGAGCGTGCACACGAGCAGGGGAGGGGCAAAGAGAGGGAGAGGGAGGGAGAATCCCAAGCTGACTCTGCACTGTCAGCACAGAGCCTGATGTGGGGTGTGAACTCACAGACCATGAGATCATGACCTGAGCAGAAACCAAGAGCCAGTTGCTTAACTGACTGAGCCACCCAGGTGCCCCTAGTTTTAAAGCATTTCTAGTAGGTAGTATTCTTTTGAAGCCATGAGAGAGAGGTGGCAATATTCAGTGACCTTATCAAAAGCCTAGTTCAGGGACGGCTGGTGACTTTCCCCCTCAGTCTGGCTCTGTAGACCATGCTGGACAGACTTGAGACATTGTCTGTAGAGGGGAGCCAAAGTTGGCCAGAAGTTTAGGAGAGGCTTTGGCCTGTTGCTTCCTAAAGAAGCAT